AGGGAAGGGAACAGGAAGGAAGAAAAACAGAGAGAAAGAAGGAAGGATAGAAGGAAGGAAGGAGGGGAGGAAGGAAGGAAGGAAGGAAGGAAGGAAGGAAGGAAGGAAGGAAGGAAGGAAGGAAGGAAGGAAGGAAGGAAGGAAAGACACATAGTGAACAAGGTTGTATTGGACAGCACTACCTCTCCTTTCCTGAGATTTTTCTTGCTGCCACAATGGTACTTGTCAGTGTTCCTCAGTGGATCTGAGGTATGACAGATTCAAGTAAAAGGATGAAAATCACCAATGGACACTGGGTTCTCTCTCCTGACATTGTCACTGGCCATCCCCATGCTTGGAATGTTCTCCCTCCTTGTCTTCACCCTCTGGTTTCCCTGGTTTCCTTCAAGACTTAGCTAAAATCCCACCTTCTATAGTTCATTTCTTACACACACACACACACACACTCCATTCCCTCTGTTACCTTCCATTTACACTGTAAATATCTTCTAAGTGCATATCTGTTTGCATATTGTCTCTCCCATTAGAATGTGAGCTCCTTGACACCAGGTACATTTTTTGCCTTTTTTTTTTCTTTTGTCTTTAGCACAATGCCTGACACATAGTAAACTCTTAATAAATTCTTGTTGACTTTACTTGAAAGACAGACAGATAAATGCTCTTAGACCTGGAAAGCAAAAAATACTTGATAGGAGAATTTTGCAGACAATCAGGATACTATTTCATATATTTGCATATAGTAAGCACTTAATAAATACTATTTTCTTTCATTCATTCATATAGCTACTTTCCCCCAGCTGTAGTTCAAATTAACCTCTTTTCATCAGGTTAAGTTCCACAGTCTCTGAAGGTTAACCCTTTATAGAGACAGCAATAGGCATATCCTTTTCTTGCTCCAAAGAGAGCTCAATGATCAGCCTGGGAGAGTTCATCAGTCTCTCAATAGTCAGTCCCTGAGCTGGGGATGCCTTTCCAAGGGTGAGGGTGAAGCCGTGCCATCAGGTGACTGTGCTGGGAAAGATCCACAGAACCCTAGAATCTCAGAGTTGGAAATTTTCTCAGAAGAGCAGAGGTCCAAGAGGTAAAATGATTTCCACAAGCTCAAGTGTAGTAATCAGAAGAGCAAAGATTCAAACCTAGGTCCTCTGACTCCCAATCCATTGCTCTTGCCTTTGCAACATGTTGCCTCAATACCCTAACAAATACTCTATTAGTCTCAGTTAAAAGACCTCCAAGGATTTGGGATCTACTACATCTAATTATTAGGAAAGTTTTCCTTACTTAGAGCCAAAATCCTCCTCTCTGCAACTTCAGTTCTGCCCTCTGAAACCAAGCCAAACAACTCTCAAGCACCTCCCACTGGGCAATCCTTCAAATACCTGCCAATGGCTATTATGCCCCTTCCCTTTCCCTCAGTCTTCCTTTCTCCAGTATAAACATCCTCGGTTCCTTTAATATATCCTAGCCTGACATGATCTCCAGTCCTCTCCCCATCCTAATCACTCTCCTTTAGATGTTTGTCAATGTCAGCATCATTTGTCAAAGGAAACATCATTTTTCACTGTCCTTCCTAAAATGTGGCATCCAGAACTAGGCACAATACTTCAGCTGTAGACTGTCATCTCCTCAGTTCTGTTTCCCAACCAGAATCGTTGGGTAAGAAGCAGGAGGTCATGCTGGTGCGTTGGCACAGGTGGGGCTAGCTAGGAAAGAGGGTCCTGGATCACTAGTCCTCCTGGGAAGATGGACCTTCTATAAGGTAGCCTAGATCAGTCAGAAAAAAGTCAGGGAGTAGGAATTTAAGTTCAGGGGAATCTGGGATGGGAGGAAGGGTCTCATAATGAGATCAAGCAAAATCCAGGGTCCAATAAGTCAGTGGTCAGCAAGAACATCACTAACACTGGAGATTAAGGTGAGGTGTGATCCAAGGCCACTTACCATGTACTTTTTTTCTATACCCTACACCATCTGGTTATGTTGAACTGGAGCTAAAAAGCCAACCTACCTCCACAGAGATAGGTACAGCAGAGAACATGGACTTCTTTCAGGTTCTCACATGGGAACAGTGTGCCTAAACTCCTTTCTCTGCATCCTACCATCTGGTGGATGTAATTCCAGTCCCCCTCCCATGTTCCATTTAGTCCTATGGTCTTACAGGAAAATCATCTCACCTATCCACTCTTGTGAGCACATACCTTTCTCCCCTAAAGACATTCTAGTTTCCCTCCTGCATATTGTACCCATCTCAAACAGCAAAACTTTCACTGGCCTGGTCCTGCTAGCCTTCTGCCTTCCCCTCTGCATTGTTTTTTCCATAAAATGCCAAACACCTCTCCCTCCTTAGGTGTTCTTTAATGCCACTTCCAACCTTTGTGCTTTCTATAAAAACAAATTCAAAAAATATTTTAAGTACGTACAGCATGTAGAACACTATATACCAGGTGCTGGGGGAGACATGAATTTTATCTGAGCAATTGTCTTTGTCCTCATAGAACTTACATTTTAGTAGAGTTATAACAGCCAACAAAGATAGCAATATAATCCATGGATCAAAGTCACTGACCACACAAACCAAGTTCATTCCTGGAGGCTTCTTATACAAATCTCTCTGTCTTGTGCCCCCACCTAGAGGACCTTCAGAATTTAGTTCATGTCTAGATAGACAAGGGGCAGCTAGATGGTGCAGTGGATAGAGTACCAGGACTGAGAGTCAGGACAACTCATCTTCCTGACTGCAAATCTGGCTTCAGGCACTTACTACCTAGGTGACCCTGGGCAAGTCATTTAACCCTCTTTGCCTCAGTTTCCTCATCTGTAAAATGGATGGGAGAAGGAAATAGCAAACCACTTCAATATCTTTGCCAAGATAACTCCAAACAGGATCATGCAGAGTCAGACACAACCAAAATGACTGAACAACAACAACTAGATAGCCATAAAAAAAAAAACAGGAAAGCCCTTACCGCAGTGCCTGGTATAGAGTAGGAGCTTAATAAGTGCTAGTTGACTAACTAAAAGGGCCCTCAGCTCCAGCACTCAGGCTAACAAGACTCAATATAGAACAAGCTTATTTATCAATGCAGAAAGGATCCATACCCAATCCCATAAAAGGTCAAGAGAAGTTTTCTCTACTCTCTGTTGGGCCCTCACTTTCTCCAAAGACCAATGACCTCCCTTCCCCTCCATCTGCCCCAACTCCAATCTATTCTGCCTCTTGGGGAATCTGTGTCTGCTCTTAAAGAGGAAGCCCAAGGGCCAATTCAAGTGTGAGAACTCCATCAGCCCTAAGGTGTCTACCCCTTGAGACTCATTACTTCTGCCAGCTCCTTAGCAATGAACTTGAGAATCAGGGTCATTTGAACCAGTTGTTTCTTCAACTTCAAAGCTGGGACCTTGAGTTAAGGCCAGAACAAAGGTCATTTAGGATAATGGCTAAGTCGAGCAACAAGGATCAGAAGAAGGCAGTTGACATCAAAAGGACATAAAGAGGAGGAAGGGCTTACCCATCTCCACACAGGACAGTTATACAGCCCCTTCTCCCTATGACCCTGAAAAAATTATCTGTTCTAGAATCATGGAATCAGTTTTCTCCCTGAAAAAAAATCTCTCTTCTTAAATCCTTGTCCTTCTCTGCCTTCACAAAGGAACAGTCCCTTCACCCCAAGTACTGGTGGCTTGGGAGCCACTTTATGGTGTTGAAAAACACCCTTGCATGCATCTTAGTGGGAGAGGCAAAGGAAGGATGAGAAGTCAGCTCCTAAAGATATCAGGCCTAGAAATCTGGTTTTGAGTTTGGGACAATTCTGAGAAGGGCCAGACTCTGTGGGCTGTTAATTTGAGGTTCCAAAAAGAAAAAATAATAACAACAATAACCGTAATAGCTGCAGCCACAGCATTTCCTGCACATTATGGCATCTGAGAAAGTGCTGACGGGGACGGCTGACAAGCTCCCTGCATTGTAATTCACCCCATAACATCATCTCCCAGCCTTATGGATTTCTCATTGAAAAATTATGTGATGCCTTTTTGGAAACCCAATACTGAGTTATTGATATAGAGAAGGCAGCACGCTTTCAACTCCCAGCATATTAGCTTTATCCTGCCAGAAGGACTTTTCTGTCTAATTTCCAAACTTGGTTTTCTCCTCTCAGTTTAAGTCGCATAGTTGGATGTCTGTGTGTACTTTTGTGTATGTGTTTGTGTGTGGCTTTAGGCAAATCAACTGTATGTGTACCTGAGTATGTGTGTATAGATATAAGTCTCTGTGGATCAGTATATAAATAGAGACAGACAGATAAAATTAGATAGATACATATATAAATAGAATAGATACATAGACACATACATAGAAACATGGATAGATACACAGATACATAGAGGTATTTGTGTTCATGTATATCCATGTGTCTGTGCCTGTAGCTGTTCACTTGTGTATGTATATGTGTCTGTTTGGATCTGTGTGAATGGCAGCCTGACATAATGAAAAGAGAGCTGGGATCTGGACTCAGACCTGGGTTCAAGTCCCAGCTCTGACACCAGCTAGACGTATAAGCTCAGGCATGACACACTTCCCTCTCCGAGCCTCAGTTTCCTCATTTGTAAAAATGAGGACAAAAACACTTGCACTATCTCCCTTCCAGGGCTATCATGAAGAAAGTATTTTGGAAACATGAAAAGGTTCTAGAAATGTGAAGTATTATTATTCCAGGAGCAGCTCCACTCTTAGAAATATAATTTTCCACCAACCACTTCGTTGGCTTGCACTCGACTAAATCCATTCTTGCCACCCCCTTTGGTCTGCTTTAAATGGGCTTCTTGCCTAGTACCCTCAGACTTCTGTGCTAAGCCTTTGCTAAGGTTTCCGTGGCTCGTGATTTTGAAACGTTTTCTTATCCAACCTGCTTTACCTCTTTACTTTGCTTACTTGAAAGTGTGGCCATTTTCCTGGCCCAGTGTTCAGAGCCCCCTGTACATAGCTCCCCCCTTCGTATTTCCTACAGGCCAAGACTGGGGTTCCATGGCTTTGGTTTCTGGGTCCCTGAGAATACCAGAAAAGAGACAGTGTGATGTCATGAAGAGAACACACACCATCAGTCTTGAAATTGGGAGTTCACATTCAACTCTTAGCACTCGCTATCTGTGTGCCCTGGTCAGATCACATACCCTCTCTGTGCCTCGGCTTCCTCCATTATAAAATGGACACTCTACCAAGACTGACTTTTTTCACAGAGCTACAGTGAAGAGAGGACCGTATTTTGTAACCCTTGAAGGATTCTAACAAGGGCTCTTCACCTGAGGTGAGTGAATTTGTTTCTTTAATATTTTGATAACTATATGTCAATGTAATTCATTTCATTTATAATTCTATGCATTTTATTTTATGCACTTAAAAAACATTGTTTGAGGAGAGGTCCCTGGGATTCACCAGATTGCTAAAGAGGTCCCAGGCAAGGATTAAGAATTCCTGTGTCATAAAAATGTTAGCTAATATTTACTCACGGTAATCCTAATGTAGGGATTGCTAGAAAGCAGTCCTTCTGGTTAGGAATACCTAGGTTCAAGTCCGGCTCTGACACACCCTGTGTAACCCAGGGCAAGACACTGTTCTAAGATATGAGTTTCTGTGCAAGTCTGCATTGGTAGATCTAGCCACAAGATAAAAAATAAGAAGAAGAAGACAAGCATTTGAGTGCCTACTATGTGCAAGGCACAGTGCTAGGTGCTAGGGATGAAAAGACAGAAGAACATAGCCCTAGGTTTCTCAGAGCTGCCTTCCAACTGTCTAATCCCTATCTATCAGAAGAAGCATTCTACAGACAGCAATGGAAAGGCTTTTGTGATTTCATCATGGGGAAATTCCCAGCATGACCAGCTCCATTCTATTAGAATCCCTTTAAGCACCAGAGTTCAATGACTTGCCCAGGGTCACACAGCTCCAGTATGACAGAGGTGGGACTGGAAGCCAGGTCCTCCTGGCTGCCCAAGTTCCCCTACCCTGTTAGCTTCAGACACCAGCTGCCATGTTGCACTTCAAACCCCATGCTGTATTTATAATATCATCCTATGCAGAGCAAATGCCAATATTTAGAAAGAAAAATGTCCTTTTTATTGGACTCCTGCTGATACCCCAGCTGTTAGCCAGCATCACACACACACACACACACACACACACACACACACACACACACAGAGCTTCTCTTTTTGTTTGGGAAAGAAGAGGAAGGGCCCCAAGCACTATAGAAAGAGCCCTTCCATCAGAAAGGTGCTTCTCTGCCCCAGCAGGTCTGCTTGGCTGAATGGAAATGTGTTTTTTATGAGATGAATTGCATCATTAAATTACATTATCAAAACTAAAAATGCACCATTAATTTTCAAAAACAATAGTAAATACATCTCATTTCTAATACATGATTCTGCATTTAATTTTTGCCTGGGGCCATGCTTTTCTCCCCCCAGCTTCACTGTCTCCCTTTATGCAGACTCTATAAATGGAGCTAAATTGCCAAAGATATTTTTGCCAAATGTCTGTAATGTGAAAATAAATGAATTTCTAATTGGCTGTTGCAAAAGGAAAAATTACTTTTTGATCTCAGCTCAGCCAAGCAAAAACCTACCTAGCCTGAGTAATAAGATGCCAGGCCATGGTAAGGAGAGAGACAAAAGATGTGGCAGAGGAACCCAGGGAGAGCAGGAAATGAGGTGAGTGCACCCAGGCACTCACAACTGCTGTTCTTTCCTTCCTGTTCAGGGGCTCTTGCTCCATTAGCCCCTAAGTGCTTCGGGGGCTTTTCCTTCTGCAGAGTGTCTCTCTGTTCTCCAGATGCAGAGATCCACTCTGTGAGAGGCAAGGCCAGAATACTGGATCTATAAGCCCTTGGCAAGGGTTGAAGATTACACTGCCTCCCTTCCTACCCCCCTGCCTTTGAAAGTGGCACTCTGTGTGCGTGACTGTCAATAGGAAGCTTTGATCCTTCCCTATAACCCAGGCCACATCACAATATCAATTAAATCATAGGATTTCAAGTGAGAATAAAATCTTAGAGATAATTATTATCCCAAATGCCTTACTTGAGAGAGAAAGTGACTTTACAAGGTCACACAACTTATTAAGTAACAAAGTCAAAACTGAAATCCAGGTTCTCTGACTCCAAATCTTGTGTTCTTCACACTATAACAAGCTGCCTGGATTTCTACACACCTTGAAAAAGATGATTTTTCTGGCAATTAAAACATGTAGATTTATAAAGTCACATTAAAAAGCATTCTTTGAAGATACATCCCCTACTTCTTTGAAGAAGTGGAAAACTATGGATGTGGGCACTGCATACATCAGATTTGTTCTACATATTGATTAGTTTTGATTAATATTTTTTAAACATTTCCTCTTTTTTATTCTGAACTCCTAGGGATAGCTCTCTGGGAGAAGGAGGCTACATCAGGAAATATAAGCAATGTAAAGACAAAGTATATCAATAAAATTTATTTTAAAAATAAAGAGGATTCCATATTGTGCCCCCACTTCATAGACAGACAGACACACACACACACACACTCTCACACCGTAAGAGGCTATCTTTCTGGCATACCACTCACTAATCCCGGATCAGAAGAGAGAAGAACCCAGAACAAATCCACCATTGAGGCTAGGCAGCTGTAACCACCTGAAGGGAGAAGTGCATGCTATAAACACTGTGGCCAGTGGGCTTGTGGTTCAGTCATTTCAGTCATGTCCAACTCTTTGTGACCCCATTTGGGGTTTTCTTGGCAAGGATACTAGAGTAGTTTACCATTTCCTTCTCCACTTCATTTTATAGATGAGGAAACTGAGGCAAACAGGGTTAAGTGATTTATGGGATCACACAGCTAGTATGTGTCTGTAACTGTATTTGAACTCAAGAAAATAAGTCATATAGTCACACAGAAGAAGACAAGAAAAATCAGGAAAATATCCAACAAATGAACAGTGGGAAGGAAATGCAGTAAAAAAGAGTCCTGCTATGTCATAGTGGATGTGGAGGCAGAGCTGGACCTGAGTGGGAAGGCCCACATCCAAATCTGGGTTCTGTTGCCTAGTGTCTAGTGTCTAGCCACAGGGGTGTCCTAGAGGCAGCTAACTGTTAAGTTTTTAGTGTGATCATTTACCACGCAAAAATCAGGGGAAAAAAATACGAATCAGGCCTTGATTTATTTGTTTCGTTGATTATCTAGATTTAAGAAAGTGATGGAGGAAATGTTTATAATGCAGATTAAACTCAAAAGTGTGTCAAGTATATTTTTTGGGGGGAGCCAGTTATTAAACATTTACCAGCATACTTCTGTACCTAGGGACTTTGGACAAGTTGTTTAATTACTCTAGGCTTCAATTTACTCATCGTTACAATTTTGAGGTTGTATTAAATGATCTCTAAAGTTCCTTCCAGCCCTAAGTTCTAAAACTCAATTAAAATGGTAATCTTACAACTTGTTATAGCACCTTTATATAACAACTATATATGTATGTATATATATATACATAATCATACATATTATATTTATATTACATATATATTTCTATATATAGTAACTTCAAATAACACTTAGTGTATGACCCTGGGCAAGTCACTTAACCCTGTTTGCCTCAGTTTCTTCATCTTTAAAATGAGCTAGAGAAGGAAATGGCAGTATTTTTGCCAAGAAATTCCCAAATGGAGTCACAGAGTGTCGAACATGACTGAAATGACTGACCAACAAAATTTATAATTTGTTAAAAGGCTTCCGTTTTGTTTTTCTCTGTCCCAATGGAGGAGATTGAGAGAGAGAGAGAGAGAAGGGTTTGTGATATTATTGCAAAAAAAAAAAAAGAAAGAAAAGAAAAAAAAGTGGCCCTCTAGGTCGTCAAATACTGTCCTAAAGGGCCTCAAGGCCAGAGGTTCCCAACCCCACCCTTAGGACCTAAGGCATTCAAAATAGGTGGCCTTCGGAAGGAGTGAAGGATAGCTATGAAAGGAGAGGACAAGGTACAAAGTGACCCCAGTCATCCTGTATGCAGGATATAGCACACTGATGACTACCTAAGGAAAAGGGGATTGCAGTTTTCAGACAGAGAGAGAACACAAAAGCTCGAAAGACAGAGAACAAAGTGTAAAAACAAAAGGCAAAGGGAAAATGACCTCTGGAGACAGAAGAGAGAGAAGCTGGCTGGTGTAAGTTCTTGGCCCACGCTCTGAAGGGCAGGAAGAGTCAGAAAGGAAATGGCGACCAAAATTAGAGGAAGCAAAAAAGAAACTGGATATGAAATCATAGGAACATTGATTCAGGTCCCAAAGGGACCTTAGAATCCATTTGTCCAAACCCCTTGTTTTACAGAAGAAACCAAGATCCAAAGAAGTTTTGATTTGCCCATGATCACACAGGGAATAGATGGAACTTCCAAACCTCATCATCCTCCCAGTTCCACCTAAGAGTCATCCTGGATTCCTCATAACCTCTCACCTCCATATCCAAAGTATGTCAATTTCAACTTTGCAACATCTCTCAAACAGACCCCCTTCTCTCCTCTGACACTGTCACCACCCTAGTGCACCTTATCACATCCCTCCTGGATTACTGCAATAGCTGCTGGTGGGTCTGCCTGCCTCAAGTCTCTCCCCACTCCAAATCATCCTCTATTCAGCCACTAAAGTGATTTTCCTAAAGCACAAGTCTGATCATACACACACACACACACACACACACACACACACACACACAAACACATCTTGCTTTGTATATTTTTGTTCATGTTTCCTCTATTAGGTTGTAAGCTCCTTGAGGGCAGGGACTGTCTCTTGCCTCTTTTTGTATCCTCAGTGATTAGCACAGTGCCTGGCACATAGTAGGTGCTTAATAAATGTTGATTGATTGAAAAAGTATTGAACCACAAAGTAAAACAGAGCAGGTAGTTTCCAGTACCAGTATTCCTATGTGATCATCAGTCATGTGTATGTGGTCCTGCTGTTGGCTTTCTATGGGCACATGGAACAAGAGGGCAAACTTGATTAGGAGGCAGCTTTTAAATTTGCCACTAAAGGAAGTAAGTGAGAAAGTGCTGTGCAGAATTATACTTCTACAGTCAGGTATCTGTGGTTTAAAGGAAAGGAGGCAGAACACTACAGCAATCAGGAGACAAGCTTCAAGTCCTGTCCACAGTGAAAGAATGAAGATGTGGTAATAAATCGTGGAGATAAACTGTTCCCAAATGGAAGGAAGACTACAAAAGAGAGATGATGAGAAAAATAGCAGAAGGAAAATCAAGACCTAAGGAGGGAAAGCAGGAAGC